CTGGTTCAAGTAAAGATGGAACGGTCAAAAAGAGCTCATTGTAGTTGTAAATAAAATCTTGTTTTGTTATCACTTCTGCCAATATGTGCTTTTGTAAATCGGTCAATCTTAAAATGTCAAGATCTAACACTTAGGCTTGCAGAGGTTCAGAGTCTTGCTTAACCCTCCTGTTGTCTTCGGGTCAAATCTGACCGATTTACTACTTTCAGCAATCATGACTTTTTTGTTTTACATTCGATTGCATTAAGGCTTTATGATATCCTGCACAGTAGACATTTGAACATATACAATTGCTGATCAACACTTTCATTGAATGTTGGATGATTTAGTCAACTTTGTAACACCCATGGTGTTCCCACCATAAAGAAAAGGAATTAGTAACCATCCGGATCAGATAACACACACACACACACACACACACACACACACACACACACACACACACACACACACACACACACACACACACACACACACACACACACACACACACACACACACACACACACACACACACACACACACACACACACAAGATGTGTTCCCCCCCTTATGTGACCAATGCCCCCATGTGAATCACACCTGGCACACACACACACACACACACCTGGCACACACACACTATATGTGTTCCCCCCCTTATGTGCCCAATGCCCCCATGTGAATCACACCTGACACACACACACACACACACACACACACACACACACACACACACACACACACACACACACACACACACACACACACACACACACACACACACACACACACACACACACACACACACACACACACACACACACACACACACACACACACACACACACACACACACACACACACACACACACACACACACACGTTCAGTGTCTATTCTTTGTATATTTACTGCAGTGTTTCATGTATACCAGTACTCTGATACAATATGTACAGTTTGAAAGGGTGTTAAAGGACATTTGGTGATGATTAATGGTTTTTGTGTTAATGTAATAGCAGTTAAAACAGGACCGGTCAAATTTGACCACGAACACCAAAGTAAGGGGGGGGGGAAACGAAGACAATAGGAGGGTTAAAGTCACATCAGCACAACTTATTATCCCCTGTAAGGATCAAATAAAGTTAACTGATGTCCAAACTAAAGCCAGACATGTTCATCATGAAGAAGTCTTCACTTTGTTCTGATCCAGGAGCAGAGGTTTGGATGAATCTTTAATGCAAACGTACTTTAGGGTCTTCTCAAAACTTTTTAATTGTTGAAGTTACAGTAATTTATGGAAAAGAGAGTTCTTCTGAATAATTCATTTTCTGCGCTCCACAGTAATTTGTCTACCTTTCCAAGAAACTGTTAAATGTTGAGCACACAGTTGTCTGTGACCTCTCTTTGTAAAGAAATAATTGAGCTTGTTGTTATTAATTTAAATAGCATGTACTCCATTTAGTGTCTGAATCATACAGCATAGGAAAGTCCGACAGAGTTTTGAACAATCAGTCGAATAAATGATTGAATCTCTGCTGCATAAATCCCCATTTCAACACAAAGAGTGTTCACAGATATGCACACAATTAAAAGTGAGAACTGTCACATTTGAATAAATGATGAATCAGACCGATAAAGGGTGCTGCTGTTGTTCTGGTGACGACGACTCACATTTGTTCCTACAGTTAAAATGTGCAACTAATTTGACAACAATGTGGGATGGGAATGATAACATTGTATTGATGCTAATGCCTTTATATTATGCTCATTGGTCTGATCGGTCATAATAGATTCCTAACAATATTCTGTGTTAATAAAAGTAGGTGTACAGGTTTGCAGTGTAAAGCAGCTTTTATTAATATCAATTGTGTAATGTTTTATAACATAGTGTCATGATTTGAGTTTTGTGTATTAAGTTATGGGTTTATTTTGAAATTCTGTTCTCCCTGTGTCTTGTCTTCCTTCCTGTGTCCTGTGTCTGATTGTGTTCACCTGTTGCCCTTGTGTTTCTGCCTCCCCTGCCCAGCTGTGTCTTGTCCTGTGATCATTACCCTTCTGTGTATTTAGGCCCAATCCCAAACCACGCCATACACCTACACACTACCCCTCCGTTCGCGCGGAGGGTCCGCCACATTAAGTGCTGTTCCAAACCAACGAGTGTGGAGGGGGAGTGGGTTGGAGTCAGGGGCGGACTGGCCATCTGTAGAATCTGGAGAACCACAGAACGGCCGGTTGCCAAGGGCCGTTGACGGCTGGCCCTTTTAAAAAAAATTGTTTAACGTCATCATTTAAGTTGTGCTGACGGCAGACAGAGGGTGATCGCGGCAAGTATCTGTCAAATAATCACACACGAAGAAGACCGGGCAGCCACACGAAGAGAAGGGATTAGACGCCGCGGCAGACAGGGAGAATGAAAAAACATGGATACAAATTAAAAAAAACGAAAAGGAAAAAGGTGGGCCGAGAAGGCAAGAGAAAAAAAGGTGAAGTCACTCGCAGGTGAAGCATATACATGTCGCAAATTGACTGACCTTTTTGGCAGCAGCGCTGCTACGAGCACTATCAGCAGCAGCTTAAAACAAGTGCAAGATGATGAAGAGAATGATGAGGGAGCGAGTTCAGATATACAGCCAGCCTCCTGCGTTCATGATGAGGGAGCGAGTTCAGATATACAGCCAGCCTCCTGCGTTCATGATGAGGGACAGAGTTCAGATATACAGCCAGCCTCCTGCGTTCATGATGAGGGACAGAGTTCAGATATACAGCCAGCCTCCTGCGTTCATGATGAGGGACAGAGTTCAGATATACAGCCAGCCTCCTGCGTTCATGATGAGGGACAGAGTTCAGATATACAGCCAGCCTCCTGCGTTCATGATGAGGGACAGAGTTCAGATATACAGCCAGCCTCCTGCGTTCATGATGAGGGACAGAGTTCAGATATACAGCCAGCCTCCTGCGTTCATGATGAGGGACAGGGTTCAGATATACAGCCAGCCTCCTGCGTTCATGATGAGGGACAGAGTTCAGATATACAGCCAGCCTCCTGCGTTCATGATGAGGGACAGAGTTCAGATATACAGCCAGCCTCCTGCGTTCATGATGAGGGACAGAGTTGAGCTGGTGGAAGAACCAGCTCAACTGGCACGTATACAAGTGCAGGGCAAGAGGTGGGTGAGAATTATCCCTTGAACTCAGTGGCGTTTTCTCCTGGAGGCCCTTGGTGAAAAAAGATCGAGGGATTGGCCAATCAGATGAGGCTCACGTCATGCCTCACAATCCAATCAAATCGCATCAACTTCAGTTCGTACTGTAACTGTCATCACCGCCCTTAAAAAGTAGCAAGCAACTGAAGCAAGTGCAATTATGGAGGGTGGAGATTTGGAGTATTTCATCAAAAATAATTTTACTAAACTTCCGCTACAGCAGCAACTAAAAATGAAATCTGATGACAGGCCGATGCCCAAACTGGAGCTGTGTTCAGAGAGGGAAAAAGGAGCGAATCGGACGTAAAACTTTAAATAATAAACAGCGGATTTCTAACATTTGACATTTCATGTGACTGGGTCAGTTTCCAGGGCTGAATTTTAGTCCCAGTCCGCCCCTGGTTGGAGTGGGTTATCAAGCCATCAAACAGCGAGTCTGCATCGATGCTGACTGGAGACCGGTCTCTACCTGACCGGAGTCACGCTGTGTGTGTCCGTCAGGAAACACGCTGTTAACAAGTAGTTCCAGCAAACATCCACTGATAAACTGCGATGTTAACAACCTCATGATAGCCTCATATGTTTTTAACTTACGATCATACCTGTGTTTAGTCTAGAAAAAGGTAAATGTGTGCATTTTGTTATAAAGTTGTGTATATTTACAGACCGTTGAAAAAACTAAGAAGTTATAAACATCAGGTTTAAAACTAAAAGAGCTTTACAAAAAAGTAACACAATGAAAGATGTTTGGAGTTTTATTTGAGTTATTAATATAAACTTTTTGTCTAAGAGATGCTGATTTGAAACCGTTGTTACAGTTACGGCATTTCCTGTTTCTGCCGGAGAGAAGGGAGGCCGTCCCAAAGCTTGCGGCTGTGTTTACTCCCTCCATCTGACAGGATGTTGAGCTGCGAATGTCACTCCACGGAGTTCACTCCCTCACGGAGGGGTAGGGGTAGGGTGTAGGGCGTGGTTTGGGATTGGGCCTTAGTCTAGTCTTCCCCTGTGCTCTGTCGGATCGTTGTTTTTCCTGTCACCCTCCATGTTTGTCACGCTCCAGGTTGGTTTTTGTCCTTGTCCTCATGCCACGTGTTTTGGATTGATGGTTTTGTCTTGTTTGCCATGTCAACAGCTTTTATTAATTAAAGCTCGCTTATGTTTGAAACCCGCTTCTCCTTAAACTGCATCTGGGTCCTGCCTTACCCCAAACCGCGGCGCTAATGCATTGAGTTTGAAATACACGGCAATCTTTTATTTTAGCGCCCATGAGGTTTCAAATAATTGTTTTAATCCTTAATAAAAAAATCAATTTTCTAATTTGTTTTAATAAAAACATTATCATTATTATGAAAGTATTTATTTATTTTTTACATATTTTTTAATCCTTAATAAAAATAGTATTTTTTTCCGTTTATTTATAATTATTATTTATTAATTAATGAATACATTTTGTATTGCAACGTTTATTTTTTTAACAAATACAGTTATACTATGGTTGATTATTTGGTGTTACGTGGACATTGGAGTGTAGTGCTCATGTTCATGCGATAATTATTATTACTAATGAATATGCATTTCCTAATATTGTCCAAAGGAGACTGAATTTAAGTGTGATTGTGTAAACATACCGTCATTTGTATTATGTCTTTTTTAAGTTTGAAAAAAACAAGATATTAGAAGCAGCAGTGCTGTCATCCAGTATCACCATAGTTCATATCTTTTTGCATACAGTTTACAGAGTTTGATGTTTGGATCAGACAATTGGATCTGGTTCTCCACTCCTATTCCAGCCCATTTTAAGAGCCTTAAACTCCTACCTGCCTGCTGAAGTAGTCGGGTTGTTGTCGGCGTTTATTCTCTTCACTCGGAGGACTGGCATTGATCCTTAATGACTAAAAGAGTCGGCCTGAAAAGGAAAAAAATAAACAATAAATGGTGACTCATTTTGTTTTGCAACTCAGAAGACTGTAATGTATTTTCTCCCACGGTCTGGCCTCTCGAGACGGAGGAGGGCATGTTCAGTCGGAGCTAAGACTCAGACTCCCAAACAGAAAGCTGTTGGGCTGTCTCCCCAAAAAAACCTCCCAAACATCTGTGGTGAGACTGACGAGAAAAAGTGCCTCATTATCGCCCATCTCCAGAAACTGTTGTCTACTTTCTGAAAGCAGATTTATGCACTCAAGTTTGTACCAAATGTTCTTGTGCAGTGTTCCTTATCACTGTTGCATCAATCATTTGTTATATTTTAGATACTGAAAAATCACACCGCCCACCCGAAAGCCAGGCCAATACATATATTCATTCTAACTCTTCTTCATTGCACTCTGGCCTTTTTAACGCAAAACTATGTAGCTTCACTGTTTCTGTATGAAGTGTATTAGCATTTCATGAATACAACTTTAGATTTGATTAAGTTTGGTGCTGTCAATCATTGTTTTTTAATAAAGCATGGATACAAAACATAATTTTGAGGGTAACACACTTTAAATAGCACTATATAATCCTCCTCTTGACATTTTATTTTAATAAACTGCATAGGAAAAATATATACACACAGTACAGTAAGTATCCTAGATTTGTATTTTTACATATCACATGTTATGCTGTGTTTCTGTTCGCTCCGATAACAAGATGCTAGATTGTGAGAGCGAGAAAGAGTCTTGTGAAGCTGCAGCTTTGATTCAAAAAGATATTCTGGTGCGAGCAGATGGCCGTGTAGACTTTGCCTGCTTGTTTAAATGTAGGCAGTCCACCCACCTTCCAAATATTTCACACTTTATCTCCTCGTGGGGAAGCTGAGAGGGAGACAGACTTCTGAAGGCCAAATAAATAAGAAAACACACTTTCTATTGTTCCAGGGTTGATGGAGATCTTCTTGAGTTATTAGGCTCTTTTTGCAGTTTTTCAAATTGTAATCAACCTTGTCGTTAGTGATAAGAAACATCGATTTTTCGCCAAATGGAAGGTATATCTGTTGATACTGGAATAACTCAGTCCTGAATCCTAACACTCGAGTGCATGATTTAATAATAATAATAATTCCTTACATTTATTATAGCGCTTTTCCAGGTGCTCAAAGCGCTTTACAAATACACATTACACATATCATACATGCAATGGTCATGTACTGTGGACAATACCCACAGGAGCAAGTTCAGGTGAAGTGTCTTGCCCAAGGACACAACGGCTTTACAGACGCAGCAGCGGCGGGTTTCACCCCTTGATCTGATGATCATTGCACAGCGCACTGCGCCACACCGTCCATCTTCACGCCTCAATGTCATCGAGGCGCTTTTACAAGTACACATTAGTATCATACATGTACTGTGGACATTACCCACAGGAGCAAATCCGGGTGAAGTGTCTTGCCCAAGGACACAACGGCCTGACGCAGTGGGGGATTTGTTTTCTAAAAGACAGAAATTGGTCTGCAGCTCTATCTCTCTTGTATTTGCTGCCTGAGAGTTGTTTACTGGAAAGGTTTGTATACAATCTAACAGAACAGAGGCTGTAGGGAGCTGGTTGAGGTGGATGCTGGGACAATAAAGACAGAGGTTTAGTTCCTGGGTCTATTTTCACTTAGTATCGCTTTGGACAATATTGTGATTATAGGATTCAAGCGAAGATTCGAGCTTCAAGGGTTTAAGGTTCATTTTTGTCCGAAAAAAACGAGACTGATCATAAGTGCATTCCTGTAGGGAATTGTAAAATACTCAGGAATGTTAATGACAGAAACAAAAACAATGGTGATTTATCTGGGAAGATCTCATGGCAAACACAAAGGAGCATGGCAAATGTGGCACCAAGCACCTAATTTAAAATCTGGAAACGTTACTAAGTAGAAGCTCTTTCGTGCAGATTTATTTTTCAGGTTACATGAGGACAAAGGAATCGGTGCTGCTATGAAAGGAGTTGGGGTCCCACTGTGATAACATTTCTGTTTCTGATTCACTTCTGTTTCTGTCATTGACAAGAAAACGTTTTAATGTTTATTGGTCGTTAATCCCAATTATACCCAATCCTATTTAGTAAAGTCATAATAAGTACCAATAACGATCTGGTAATTGGGTCCAGGAGAGACCCAATGACAGGGAGAGATGTAGACACAAAACAGATCCCAGGTCGCACTGCAGGTTTTGCACCCATGAGACTTTCATACCCTTATTTCAAGCGAGTAATGCGGCTTATTTTACGCACAATCATCAACCTTTTGTAGTCTATTGAGAAAACAGCGACAGCAGGTTTAGTACGGCACGATCAACATGAGTTTTTGTCCCCTCATGGTGGGAAATCTCCATTCCCCCAGGTTAGTTTTGTGCATGCTGGATGGTGTTGACTTTAATAAAAGACAGTGATTTGTAAGCCTACCTGCCGCGGCTCACGTTGTTAAATGTGTTTACTAGCTGTAGAGCTTCCCCCTCTCATTGTTTCTGCTTGTTTATTGATTCTCCAGCGTGAGCAATTTCACCCAGCCACGGCGCTGAAACTTTAATATGATGTCTCGAATTTAAAGGAAGGTGATTAAGGGTTTTCAATCCGAGACAGCTCACACAGAGCAAAGAAATCGGAAAACAAGTCAGAGTTGTTTTCTCTCCCCACATGGCTCATGAAACAGGTACATCCAGGTAAAATACATTTCTCTCTATTGATTCATTTCAGCGTTTTAGATTTGTACCAATCCAGACAGAGGTGGGGAGAAGCAGACAAATCAATGACAAGGATTTCCAACAGGGACGTTGAAGACTGAGGAATATTTTGCACATTCAATCTTTTTTTAAAGCCAACACAAGTCAAAATATCCTCTGGGCTCGTCCTTTACAGAGAGAGTGATGGAAGTGCTCTCTGACGGTAAATCCAGCCCACAGTAAATGTAATATCTAATTTTAACAGATCCATTCATTCTTGTCCGGCACCTCAGCCAGTAGTAGTTTTGATGGGGGTCATGAGGAGAGCTAACATTAATAACAACTCCCCATATCACACCTGGATGTGACTGGGCGCCGGCGTCCTGTCTGACAGTGTCCTCTTGGAAATAACATATGATGCCATTAGGTGCCATTATAGGTCAAACCCCACACAAACACAGCAGTAACTCACTGTAATCTAGCCGTGAGAGGAAGGGCAGGTTATTCCCACAGTGCTGCGGGGATGGGGGGGGGGGGTATTTGTGTCACAAACTGAGCTGCAGTTTACCAGCTTGAGTCATGATGAACGCTGTGATAAAGCTGGGCTGTCACTCAGGACAGCTCAGACACAAATAAAACATCACCTGCCTCCAAAAAGGAACCAGAAAGGATGCCAAGAAAAAGAGATTGTGCACAAGAGATTTTTTTCAGATGCTTTACCTCAGCAGTTTCTAAATCTGACAAGCAGCCAAGAATTATTCATGCCGGATTATCTTTTTGCTGGTACAGATCGGTATCTTTATCAGCTGATTTCCCCTCCTGGTCCCTCAAGCGGAGATTTGACTCGTCCCTCTCCCTCTCCCTCATCCAGCCGTCGGCTACTCTTTTGTCAATACTGAGACGCTTAACGCGGCTCACAATGTCAGAGAGGCTGCAGCACGACTTTCACACTTTACACAGTCCCACCGTACAGCCCGCACGAGCAAAGACTATACAAATGTTGAGATAAGTGCATTAAAGGGATGCGCTAAGGTAAGGAGAGGAAAATTAAACACAACCCAAACTCTGCAGAAGTTGTTTGCTCCTCCTCGCAGATAAAACAGTGATTTACACCCAGAGAGAGAAGAAGAGGGAGCTTACCTGCCCACAGCGCAGACACACACACACACACACACACACACACACACACACACACACACACACACACACACACACACACACACACACACACACACACACACACACACACACACACACACACACCTGGGTTTTTCTGCTCACCTAAATCACTTCCATGAGTCACGCAGAGGGAACATAACCGGCTCTCAGGGAAAGTGGAGTAAACACTCGTCGCAGAGCTCGCTCTCTGCAGCGCTGCTATCTCTCATCCTCCTCTTCCTCTGCTTTGATCTCTCTCTCTCTACTGGTGCCCCCCTCTCTCTCCATCTCTGCCACCCCCTCACTCTCCACCACAAGGTGTCACAAACAGAGTGTCTTATTGGCTCTCACCTCTCTCTTTGCCTCTCTCCTCCTCCTCCTCTCTCTGTCTCTCTTCTCTATTTGGATTGCCTGACTTAAAGAGGCAATGCATCAGCTATAAAACTCAGAGCACTTCCACATCGGAAACTTGGAGAAACAATCAAACTGTTGATTAAAGCGAACATCTGGATTACAGGGGGGCAGACAGAGCTCCATTACTCTGCTGAGTCTCAGTGTTTTTAAGCCGCTTAACTCACTTTTCATTGCCCATTATATCCTTGATTTATCTTAAAGGAGATATAAGATACGTTCATTAAATAGCATTGAAACAATTATATCGGTATTTCTCAAGGTTCGAGATTGCATCCTCAAATTACATGTTACGTCCATAACTCTTTTTTTCTTGTAAAAGCAGAGGAAAGAAACCAGAACCAGACATATCTGAAAACTGTTCTTGATGATGCATTCAAGGACACACTACTGCCAGATTTCAAACATAGATACATCTTTAGTGTTAATGAGGGTAACAGTCCGTTTCAGCTGTTTTCGGTCATGAAGAGACTTTTTATCCAATATTTGACAATTTTTTAAGATCTTTTACAGTAGGATGTTGATCTTTTATACTAACTGAACATGCTGTGCTAACGTTAGCCTTTAGCACAGTGGTCACCAACCTTTTTAAGCCCAAGATCCCCGACCTCGGCCTTGGTGAAAGGCGAGATCTACCTATTACAGAATTGAGTGAAAAAGACGGCCCAGACAGTACTTCCAATTTGAGGCCTTTTATGTCGGCCAATTGCATCTGAATTACAGCAAATCATTTGGTGCAACTTCCAATTTGATTAAACCAAGAACACAACATAACTAACATGTAAAAAAGGATAAATATATATATTTACATCATACCTATCATGTTATGTTTCATTCATTCCTTCATTACAATCCTAAATATAAATGTATGTAGCTTATTTTCCATTTGTTTGAGTGAATTAGTACATTATTTTGTTGACAGCAACAACAACAAAGAAAAAAATAACATGTTGCAGTGAGCAGATAACATAAAGTGCCATTTTAACTGTGTGGCTTATCCACTGAATGCAAGTGCAAGTGCAGCATTGCCAGCCGTCACTGACGTTGAATCAGAAAAGCAATACAGCAGCCGTTAGCTCTTAGCACTCAGAGGTCACAGCTCCTCAGATCTGTTCAGAAACTAGACAAAAGTTAAACAAGTACAAACCACAGACTGTCTGTGTCATGACGAATACAGTCGCTGTTGTATCTGTGTCTGTATCATGTTGTTGTGAGTTTGGACGGAGCAGCTACAACGTTAGTTTAGCCTGATCTATCCGATCTCCATTCAGGAAACACGCATTTTAAAAGGTTTTTCGCCTGCCGTCTGTCTGCAGACTTGTCAAAGCATTAAAGCATGGTTTTTACTAACCGGTATCAGTATGTAGTTACTTTGGCATAATTATTATTTTCATATTTAGCCTTTATTTATACAGGTGTAAAATCTCATTGAGACACAAGGTCTCATTTTCAAGAGAGACCTGTCAGTGGTAACACTACCACACAAAGTTACAGACAGACAGGACACTAAACTACATATCTTAAACTGCACTGTGACTTTTTATTCATGTATTTTTTCTTTTTAATGACTGTTTTTAAATGCCTTTGTCTGAATGTCTTTCATTTTTGTAAAGCACCTTGAATTGCCTTGTGTTGAAAGGTGCTATATAAATAAACTTGCCTTGCCTAAACACAGAGGCAACACTAAAATACAACATCGTAAAAAAAAGTAGTCATTGAAATCCATATACAGCAGTCAGATATAGCAGATGCAAACACCCACAGATGACTTCTCCAGCTTTTTTAAAATTAGTTTAAAATCCGTGATGGGTATCAAACTGGTCAGCTTAAGTTCCTGCTGAAGTGTGTTCCAGGTCGAGGGGGCAGAGTACGATATGGCTTTTTTCCCAAGCACCGTGCGTACTGAGGGGACGGACAGAGTGATGTCATGAAAATATGCAGCATCACTTGAAGTCAGTCTATTATTGTCGGGAGCGACAAGGAATGTCTCAAAGATACGTCAATCAAGTGGCACCTGCTAACGGGGTGGTGGATGATAGGTTCACCTCTTCGGATAATTCCGCTCCTGATGTTGTTGTTTTTGAGAGCCCTCTAGAGGCAGAAAATAAACAGATTGTTCGTTCGAGTACTTATTTAACCTCTGCAAACAAAGCCTATAGTCTCTTCAACCCTTTCCATTGTGTTAATCATGTTTTTATCTCCATAACGTAATGAAACTGCGGATTTTATTCCAATGCATTTATATTTGACATTAATTTATAAAGATGTGAAATGATATAGCACAGCACGAGCCGCATGTTTGAAAATCCCGAAATTGTCTTCACTGAGAGGATTAAAGGAGAGTGAGTTTTGAGTGGATGTAGCCTTTAATGATCAGTTCAAACTGGGTCTGCGCCGAACGAGGGCCAGGAGTCAAGTTACCAATTTGCAATTATAATTAGCCTTCCAGCCCCTTAAAATGTAGATGATCCAAGCCGCCATGTCCTCATATGAAATTAACTCTAAATAGGCATGAAACCCAGAGACGTGCTCAAGTTTAAGGCGTGCAGAGCTATCGGTGTTGTCGTGTTTGCGTATCTGAGGCTGTTTTAAAATGTAAGAGCTCTTAAATCATTCAGCTCACACCGTGTAACACCACAAACTAACACAGAGTCCCCGCTGTTACAATACTCCAGTAAGCATTAGCCTAATTCAAGTGCGTCCGCTTTGAAACAAACACGAAATTAAAGAGGAACATCTGCGCCGCTCTTATTGGGAGCTGCAGTGTTTCTGTTAATCACGACTCATGTTGTCGTCCTTCTTGTTAGTTTTTATTTATGGGTTTTAGAGGACTCTCTGTCTGCTGGTTTGTTTATTGGCCCCAAGAAAAAAATACAATTAACATGGTTGAGATTTGCTACACGGTTTAATATGGAATTAAAAGTATTAAATAATTTTCATTTTGTAGTTTTGATATCCATTCATGCAGGCGATGGGAGGGTTCATCATGCAGAGGATCATGGTTTTGATCCATAACATGTTTATTTTGGTATATAAAACATGGAGGACACACTTTTCCAATCTCAGGGGAAGCTGGTCTTGTTATTGTTTCATCTGGCATTAAAGCACACAAAGTTGCAGCAATGAAAATAAATGTCATGGTGGTGGTGTTCCACATTCAACTATGTTTATTGAAGGTTTCCGTAGAATACCTTGGATGTATTTACCGCCCTCTAAGAACCTTTTTGAAAACTGTCCTTGGTGATGCATTCAAGGATATTTGAGTAATTTGCAGCAACACATTTCATTCATGGGCTGTTAGAAAATCAAAGCTAAAAGAGAAAAATGTGGAGGCTCTGACACATGTCCCCTGATATGGATTCTGTATCTGAAGCATTTCTTAAGTCACAGCTATTGATTATGATCGTGTTGTGAAATGATCTGGAACCTGTGTCTACCTGGCACTGATACAAAATCAATAAGCAGCTACGGTATGGAAAGACGTCTGCAGTTTGTTGTTAATGTGCAAAACCACTTTATGGCCCTTTAGTCATTAGTCATACACTTTAAAGTTACACTGCCAGGGGAATGTTATTATGTGCTTTATTGCATATTTAATGGCAGATGAGCTTAACATAATCCTTAATGCCCTGGAAATAAAAACATGAGTGCTATAACTAACTACTGCACAATATGTTTTTAAAAATTATATATTATTACTGTAACTTGTCCAATAAGTATGTAGTTAATGTTTTTAGTAGTGTTTTATGAACAATGTGCTAAAATCGTAATTTTGACGTTTGTTTCTTATAACTGTTGCATGGTTAACAAGTGTGTCATATTTGACTGACTTACATATAAAGAGGCCCTATTCCGCTTTTTGGAGTTTTTCCTTTCCTTTAGGAAGCGCAAGTGTTACATAGTGATGTCACAGCGATGGTTTTATTATTTTAAGTGCATTGGTATTGCTGGTTTGTGTTCTGTTTCTTCATATTGCTGTGCATGGTTAGTCAACAACATTATGTTCTTGCATTCATATTTTGCTACTAACTGTTATTTTCTGCACGATGTATTCATTATCTTGAACATAATCAATTTGATGCTATTGTTTTTTTATGTGACATATTTGTATTTCTCTTCTTCTAACCCAATTGGTTGAAATTGCGTTGTACACCTTTATGGAACTCTGTTTATTGCAAAATGTACTCTTAAAGGTCACCTATTATGCAAAATCCTCTTCTTCATGTCTCTTCTTCATCAACATGTGTTCCCTCTTCTTCATGTCTCTTCTACATCAACATGTGTCCCCTCTTCTTCATGTCTCTTCTACATCAACATGTGTCCCCTCTTCTTCATGTCTCTTCTACATCAACATGTGTCCCCTCTTCTCCATGTCTCTTCTTCATCAACATGTGTCCCCTCTTCTTCATGTCTCTTCTACATCAACATGTGTCCCCTATTCTTCATGTCTCTTCTACATCAACATGTGTCCCCTCTTCTTCATGTTTCTTCTACATCAACATGTGTCCCCTCTTCTTCATGTCTCTTCTACATCAACATGTGTCCCCTCTTCTTCATGTCTCTTCTACATCAATATGTGTCCCCTCTTCTTCATGTCTCTTCTACATCAACATGTGTCCCCTCTTCTTCATGTCTCTTCTACATCAACATGTGTCCCCTCTTCTCCATGTCTCTTCTACTTCAACATGTGTCCCCTCTTCTTCATGTCTCTTCTACATCAACATGTGTCCCCACTTCTCCATGTCTCTTCTACATCAACATGTGTCCCCTCTTCTTCATGTCTCTTCTACATCAACATGTGTCCCCTCTTCTTCATGTCTCTTCTACATCACCATGTGTCCCCTCTTCTCCATGTCTCTTCTTCATCAACATGTGTCC